GGTTCCTTTAAAATGGGACACCCTGTATATATAATTGTATATACGTTTTTCATACGCTTGCTTTATTTATATTTATACATAATCCTATTACTAAGTCTGTCAATACCAGCTTCCCAAGTCTTGTTAATCCTATAATAAAATCCATTTAAAAAATCGAATTTTATATTATTCGTCAAGACTAGACATATTATCAAAAATGAAAATCCCAATCGCGCGCCTACAATAACCTACCATTCAATAAACATCGAATTTGCCTTGCGCGCCCACACCGGACATATTTTCGTGAATAAATGTTCAAATCATGCGTCTATGATAAAACCTCATTAAAAATCGAAATTTAAATGGCATACCAAAATCAGACATACTTTCTAAAATGAATTTTTCAATTGTGCGCTTAGAATAAAACTTCATTAAAAAATCGAATTTGCCTTTCGCGCCAATACCACACATATTTTCGTAAATAAATTTTCAAATCATGCGCCTACGATAAAACTCTATTAAATAATCGAATTTCAAATTACGTATTAAAACCGGACATTTTATGACAAATGAATTTTTGAATCATGCGCCCAAAATAAAACTTCATTAAAAAATCGAAATTTTAATTACGCGCCAAGATCGGGCGTATTTTCTTAACCCATTAACGTCCAAAATGTCAAAATTTCTTGCACGTTTTCAAAGTGATTTTTTCCTATGTAATTGGCGTTGAAAAAATTCTTGAACCACATATTCTGATGTAAAATTGCATGCTCTTTCAGAATCCGTTGCCAGAATCATGATAAAACTCACAGGAAAAGATATATGCTCGATTGAAACATAAAAAACACCTAAATTTTCGAAAAAAAAAATTTTTTTCTCGAAATCTATGGACTTTAGAAAAAAATTCATAAGAACAAAAATGTCTTAGAATCACTCGAGAAACATCCTAAAATTTTTTCAGAATTTTTGGAGACATTTTTGAAAATTCCATTTCCCAAGTTTCCCGGAAAATCAAAAATTGTCTCAAAAAATTCTGAAAAAATTTGAGAATGTTCCTCGAGCGATTCTAAGGCATTTTTGTTTTTATGAATTTTTTTCTAAAGACCATAGATTTTGAGAAAAAAGTTGATGAAGATTGAAAAAAAAAAAATTCGTTTTTTCCGCCATTTTGTAAAGAAGCGATTGTTCAAGGTAAACAAAAAAATTTCCTGTTAAACTTCAAATCCCATGATAACCTTTGATCACGGTCGCAAGGTGATATCTTCACCGTAACACTTTGAAAAAAAATCCTAAAAATTTTTTTTTTCGAAAATTTAGGTGTTTTTTATGTTTCAATCGAACATATCTCTTTTCCTGTGAGTTTTATCATGATTCTGGCAACGGATTCTGAAAGAGCATGCAATTTTACATCAGAATATGTGGTTCAAGAATTTTTTCAACGCCAATTACATAGGAAAAAATCACTTTGAAAACGTGCAAGAAATTTTGACATTTTGGACGTTAATGGGTTAATTGAAAATTAAAATCGTGCACCTACAATAAAATTTTATTAAACAAATGGTACTTTAAATTGCGCGCCAAGACCAGACATATTTTCTCAATTGAATTTTCCAATTGTGCGCTTAGAATAAAACTTCATTAAAAAATCGAAATTTCAATTACGCGCTAAGACCGGATGTATTGTATCTGATCTTGATCTTTGTGTGTGTACATCACAGTTTTAATTTCAATTTGTCCTGATGAAATTCGGAATAGTGGTTTATTATGATATGATCGCAACAAAATATAAGTACTTTAAACCGATGTATAAATAAAATAATATTTTCGATAATATCCGGAAATTCACCGGGGTTAAAGTAGATCCATCGGTTAGTGAGCGCGATCGAACAAGATTCTAACATTTTGGACCGAATTTTATGACATGTTGAATCAGCCCATGAGTGGGCTCATAACAGTTCGTTAGCGGTGCAAGGAGGTACGTATTATGACATTATTATAAGAATTTTTGCTCGTACAATCAAACTGGAAAAAAATGATATTTTTTAAAAGCTCTAAAATAGTTTATCAATACAATAATAGCATATCTTTCGCGACAAAGTACAAGTTTTATTCAATAGAATTTAATAATAAAAATTAAAATAATATAGAAATGAAAACAAAAAATTATCCACATAATCGAGCACATCTGTTGATTATTAGTAGAAACATGAAAAATAAGTTTTATCAAAATTTGAAAATAATATATCGATAATTATGAAGGGGAAAAGTTATACACGATTTATTCTTTCCGTTAAAAAAAATTTTTCACAATATTCACATATTTTTATCATAATTTAGACCGTTCATCACATCGTCATGCCGTCAATATATCAACTGAAGTTATTCGCGATCAAATTATGGGGCCATTCCGTCTGCCGAGAAAATTGAATGCTGAAGTGTACCTTGACTTTATATAATGTGATCTATGAGGTTTCTAAGATGAAGTTTTGGCACCAGAAGAGCAGGAAAATATTATATTATGCATGACAGAGCTCCAGTAAAGTTCACTCAATTTGCACGCAATCACCACGATGAAGTTTTTTTTTACTCTAAGTTTACGTATAATCTCTAATGTATTAATAATAATAATATTAAAATCTTCCAACACGATCTTATCGATTTGAACACATTGAATGGGAGAAATCCGCCCTCATATGTCCGCCCTCAAAAATGAATTTTGCAATTAATCTCAAGTCTTAATTAATATTTTACAATAAAATAAATTTCATTTCACTTGTTATGTAAATTCAGAACTAGTGCAAGCAGTTCCGATTATAAGAAATGCAACCTTCATTTTTTTATTGACAATTCTACCGTTTTTGTACATATAGTATTTTTGTGAAAAAAAAATTTTAAATGAGACCAAAAGAAAACTGGAAAAAATATTAAATAATAATAAAGTTGATCCATTTGAGATGACTTTTCAAAATATCCTGAAAATGAAGAAACCACCCCAATAAAATTTTTTTTAATATTCTACAGGTTTAAAATGTTAACTTACTAAGATGTCTGTTGTGTATTACTTCTAATGTATAAATAAAACTAATGCATCGAGCTTCGACCATGAGACTTGCAACCTCTATTTTTTCCATCGAAATTTCTCTCTTTGTGCCTGTTTTCATGAAAAAAAAATCAAATCAAAATATTAGAAAAAATATATTCGTTGATTGAATACTAAAATATGGTTAACCTATTCGAGCTTATCTTTCAAACTCCCCCAAAAAAACAAAATCAACCCCGAAAAAAATTTTCAATATTCTACAGATTTTAATTGATATTTTACTGTAGATTGCACTGCGCATTACTTCTAGTGTTAAAATACAAGTAAAACATGTAAATCCGATCACGAGGGTGGTATCTCTTATTTTTTAATTGAAAACTAGTCTTTTTTTGTACTTATTGATATGAAAAAAATGCATTAGTCCAAAGAATTAAGCGATATTGTATATAGAAGAGTTAAATGATAGAGATAAATTATTAATTCAGGTAGGAAAACTAATTTTGATGATAATAAAAATAATAAGCGAAAAAATTATAGTAATAATATTTTCGATTAAGTGTAATACCTTCGTTATTTTAACTGCTACAATTAATTTACTATTTTGGACGTCCAGATCTTCTAGCTAGAAATGTTTCCTGATGAGTAGCCTATGTTTCCTAATGAGTAGCCATTTTGGCCGTTACTTTAATTTTGTTTTGTTGTTAAACGATAAATTTGAATTATCTGTCACTTCACTTGATTGGCTATTAATATCTTAGTTTTCCGAGTAGAACGCAATGTAAGCACACCAGCTGTTTTCAAAGATCAAAGATTGACTGAAATATATAAACATAAGTTTGATTTCAATAACGTCTAAGTTATTGAATGCTAGCCATAGAGACCAAAGCGCCTATTTTTCGGAATTCTAGACATTTATAGCGAAAAAATAACATAAATAACTATGTACAGAACTATGTAAGCAAACATGAGTGAGATGAATGATTAACATTTACATTGTTGAATTGGCAAGCTTATATCCTATGTGACGTTCTACCGACTAGTTTTGCATAAGATTGTCTTCTTTACTATACCTACCTTATTCCTTCTAGATACATATTTCAAAAATTTGTTTGGCATAAATACCAGTACAAACTGAGGTACATTTCAATATTCTCGTTTAATATGTATAAAGCTTACCGATTCTTATGATGATTCTTATTAGAAATGACGCACAAAAATTGTTTTCATAAGAATGTAACTTTTGCGTAATATTTGCGGTAAAAAGTAGCCAAATGTGTTTAATAAATATAAATTAATATGTTTATTTGACCATTCTAGCTTTGAGAAGGATGATGTAAAAATGTCATCAAAACGTTGGCGAAATTAATACTAAAGATTGGCTCAGAAGGATCCAAAAAGGAAAGACTTGGTCGATCACTTAAAAAACTTCTTTACCTAAACATTGTAGTGAGTCTCTTGGAATAGAGAAATAAATATTATGAACTCCTTTTTCTCAAACTCACCTTCATAGTTACATCTGACAGGAGTGTCCAGTGGCTTAATCAAAATCTAAAAAATAATTCAACTCCTATTCTATTATAAATATAATTTATCGGACCATGTCATATGATAATATTATACATACATTATGAAAAAAGAAATTTCCATTTTTTATCAGAATGGTTATTATCCACTTTGAATCCAACTAAATCTTTACTCGGAGGTAAACTTTGACGTAACAAATAGTTATGGTTTTATAAATGTATTCTAACGAAAATGTGGAATCCTCTTTAAATCTAACGAGGGATTTTTGATATCTCCAAAACATTAACCAATTTTATGAATAAAGACGGATTCATGTGTAGGATATGGATTTTTTTTCAACTGGACTCCATTGCTTTCCTATATGAACATGTTTTTTTTTCTTTATTCGTTTTATAAAAACAACTTTGCAATCAATAGCATTTTTGTAAATATTATAGTATTTATTTTAATTTTACAGATTCAACGTAATAGATAAAGGATGCATACCAGCAATTGAAAAATACTTGACAAAGAAATCGTAAACAACTGGAATAAAATATACAAAGTAAAGAGTTACTTGATGACACTAACCCGTAGATCCGAACTTGTGAGTTTTTTTATATGCATACCGCAAGCTCCTATCTACCGGTACATGTAGTCAGGCCGGCATTAATTGATTCTCAATATTAATAACCTCAAATTTATATGGATTTTCATGCCTGCGTAAGATAAATTAACATCTCAATTTTTTACCTTTTAAGAAATGGTATTCATTAAATAACAAGTGAAATAATTAACTAATTTAAAAGTACTAGAGTTTTACTAATAAATAGATTTAATAAACCGATCAGATAGTCAAAATGTCCTCTTTTGTCTTTCTGCAAATTTATAACAAACATGACAAAATTTATTCTCATGATTTTGTTAGTCACTTAGTCACGGACTTGGCAAGTGTTTCATCACGTTTTTTGTAAAGTTAGCAATTGCAAATAAAATCTGTTTCAAACGAAATATTATCTACTCGAAAATATGAGTTTTAATTTCTCAATGTTAAACAAAAATAAAATCACATTAATTTAATTGCCTGTATAAAACTGATTTTATAATCTTCTCTAGTTTACTATTAAAGATAAATGATTATTTTTATGTTTTCTAACAGATCAATTTGTTTCAATCAGTAGTTATATTAATAAATATAGTAGCCTATAAATAAATAGTTCTATTATGGTACTTCAAAAAGCATGTACATATTAATGAGATTTCGATACCTCATTGCCTGGTTTTTACTTTTCATAAATGGTGTGTGCAATCATATATGGAGCATATTTTCGAACTGTTTATTTTATGATAAATTCACAATTATGTATCATATTATTATTATTCATGTATTTATATCTATAGTAATAAAATCGGTGCAACGAGTTTTGGTCGTATGAACGTATTAGTAACCATGGCTCATATTATACCGAAATCGTTCAGTATAAACAAACTGTAATATTTATAGTTTATTGTACATATACAATAAACTATAAATCTTTTTTCGTAATTGTAGACTTGCTGTATTATGTCAAATATTGAAGAAAGGAAAAGAAAAATATTCTGTTAGAAGAAATAGTAAAAGAATAACAAATAGTTGATTTTTGAAAATATTTAAATTATTGCGAATTGTTATTATAGTAATAAATAGCAATGTTTAAAAATTATAATCTAAAACTTAAAAATAACTATCTATATAAAATATTATGAATGAATTATAAGCTTCATGAAATCTTAAAGAACACAATTACTTAGACAAAAGCAAACAAATATCAGAACATCGTATGAAATAACAAAAAATGTTTAATAGAGAAAAAATAGCAGTAATGCCTGGGTGAGGTAGTAGGTTGTATAGTAAGGAATTAAGATTCGGTATTGAGAAGTCGACTGTACAACTTGCTAACTTTCTCGGTTATTAATGCTCTCCTTCGTTGGATAATCTGATTTCAAACACTAATTGATCTACAGTCTAATTTTAATATAGCATAAGCTGTATATTCCCCAGAAAGGTACGTATTAATCATTATTCAAATTTAATAAATTTTATCATAATCATAGCCTATCACAAATACATATATACATATATATATATATATATAGTCTATGATAAATGTTATCATAATTTTGTCTTTTTTCATTTAAAAATGAACCTATTGTAATTTAAATTACATAGATATATAAAAACGGTGGTCTATATCGAAAATGACATACACATATTCTTATGTATCTTGACACATTAAATTCAAATTTGCAATCAGTTTAGCCTCAGTAACGATGTAAACAAATGTGCCAAGCAAATGTAAACAGATGTGTTAAAAAATTTCTACTGTGTTGAGGGTTGCTGAATCTGAATTTGGAGTCTGTTTGATTTTATCGTGTATTTTTAGTCAAGGGCATTCCCATAAGGAAAACTCTTGATATTTTAAGTAATAAAATAATTTATGGTTGAATCAAATGATTTTATTCAAGTATTTCATTCGTTTTTATTATCTTAAAATAATGATGAAAAAATGTTATAAATTGTTGCTGTTGTTATTAAGAAAAATTGATGTTATTATGAAAATTGAGGTGTGAAATTTCTTGAAATACAATAAATACAATATAATTGAAATACAACTTTAAATTCGGGTAACGCTGGTATAAGGAAAATCTTTCGTTATCTCTTATGGGTCGTTAAAACCACGTTTTGATTAGCGTTACGCTTTATAAAGAATACCGATGATACTGGATTATGATCAAGCAATCGCATGATATGTTTATGCGTGCGAACGAGTAAACTTCAAATAAATAAATTTTAAACAAAATGTCAGTGGAACAAAAAACACGTCCGTTAAAAGGAAGTGAGTTTTCTGTATCGTCTCTATCTCGACAAATCTTTTAACTCTCACGCCATCGAGCGGCATCGATGGTACTCTCTCCTCTCTCTCACTCTCTCTCTCTCTCTCTTCGTTTTTAACTTACAAGGGAACATTCCCAACCGTCCACCTTCAATTTTATTGCCATTGACATTTTGAATTGACAAAAACGGTCATTTTTTGGTAAAAACTCGTTTGCACGCAATATACTTGGGGAATTCAAACTTTTAATAAGCTTCTTGTATAGCCCTTGGAAAGAGCTAAAAAATAGTCTACTTCCAATTTTTCTACGGGTTTTCCTTCCGGTATAGACAGAAGTGAAAGATGAATAAAAAAATCGAATTTTCAACGACGAATTATCATTAAAAACAATTAGAGAATGAACTAATTATATTTGCTATACATATCATATAAAAGGTCTTAAAAAGACCTTTCAAACGCGTCCCGGGTTGGTCTCTGTATCAATTTTTCACTGAGATATTAAATTTTAAAGTTTTAAGAAATCTCTCTTTGGGTGGGCAAAAGCAATTTACGGGCACTGTATGTATTAAGTTAACAAAACATGTTCTGAAGTGTGTTTTTTTTTTTTTTTTTGAAGAGAGTTGGAGAATGCTTTATGCACGTAACGGCCTTCCGGCTCGTCCTGTGTGGGAATCCCTAAGCATGGTATACCCACTAAACTCCCATCTCTCTATGTCCTGCCTGTATCCCCCGCGGGAACCGCCGCTAGGCATTACTTCGCGGGGGGGCTTCTGCTATATTAGCCTTGTCTTCTTCATTACCTTTCGGCTGTGTCGCTTTCTTCGATCTTCATCGTCTTCGGCTATGTTAGCCTCGTCTTCTTCTTACGGCATCGATTTACACGTCTTCTTCGGCATCGTCCGGTCATCTTCTTCTATCGGCATCATCCGGTCATCCTCTGGACAGACTCTACCTCGACACCTACGTTCCTCTGCATCGGGTGAGGGAGTCTGGGCTCAACCCAATGTCCTTTGCTCTCCCGCAAAGGCAGGGGAGCGCTTTGGATAGGCTGGCGCCTTGTTATCCTATGGACTTAGGTGACCTCAGAGCCTACGTTCCTCTGCATCGGATGGGGTAACCGCGCTCTACCAACTACTCTGTGGTAGTTTAGGAGCGCTTTTTAGTCCCATAGTCTGGCACCTCGCTCTATCTATGCATGATAGACCTGTCGCGTCTTCTCTCTTCCTCCTTTCTTACTTCGGTCAGCCGGTTTACCACTGACGTGGCAAAGGTCACTACCGTTTCCCATCCCTCTGGCGAGCCGAGCAGGCAAGCTCCGAGCCCTTCGGGACTCATTGGATCATTCCACTCCGTGCGGAAATGCATCTGCTCTTCGGCGAAGCGGGGACACACAAATAAGACATGTTTTACGTCCTCGTCATTGCCTGGACAGGATGGGCATTCGGCACTCGCATATACACCGATGTGTTGGAGATAAATGCGGAAGCAGCCATGACCGGTGAGCACCTGTGTTAGTTGGAAGGTGAGGTGTCCGTGGCGCCTGCCTGTCCACTTGTCAATGTTCGGGATGATGCGATGAGTCCAGCGACCTATCACTGCGTTGTCCCATTTTCTCTGCCATTCTCGCATTAAATTTTGCGTCCACCGTTTGCTGTGGACATGTCTATCAGCATTGTTCTCTTCGTTACGACCTCCTTCACGGTATATTTCTGCTCTGTCGCATGCTAGTAGGTCGATAGGCGCTATTCCAGCGATTACCGAGACTGCTATGTCTGATACAGTTCGGTATGCACGGGCAACTCGTAGCGCTGCTGCTCTGCAGGCTCTTCGACACGTCCCTCCGTAGCTTGCATTATTTCTTAGCGCATCCGCCCATATAGGAGCTCCGTAGAGAATTACCGAGCTTACGACCGACGATAGGAGGGTTCTGCGTGGTTGCTTTGGCCCCCGACGTTTGATATGATACCTGCCAACGCTCTAGCAACGTTAGTGGCTTTGACACCTGTTTTCGAGAGTGTTCCTCAAACGATAGCCGCGCATCTAGTATAACTCCCAGGTACCTCACCGTGTCAGTCGACTGTACTCGCTTATTTTCCACCGTGAATGTGGCGTACTTCCGAGCTTTCGTGCGGGAGATGAGCACCGCTTCTGTCTTTTCCGCAGCGAGACTGAGCCCATGCCCTTTTAGCCATCGAGACACCACCTCGATGGAGACGTTTCCTATATATTCTATCTCCTCAACGCTCTTTGCCGTGACCACTAGTGCTACATCATCGGCAAAAGCTATTATCTCTATTCCCCTTGGCAACTGCTGTCTTATTAGTCCGTCATATAGGACATTCCATAGCAAGGGGCCAAGCACCGATCCCTGCGGCACTCCTCCCGTGATGTTGTATGAGTGTGTGCCATCGTCGGTGTTATAGTGCAGGATTCGGTTGCTTAAGTAGCTCGATAGGGCTCTACGCAAATACAGCGGCACCTTCAGTCCTTTCATGGCTGTCATAATGATGTCCCATCTTGCCGAGTTAAGCGCATTTCGGATGTCTAATGCGATCACAGCGCACATGCGTCTTGCGCTCCGTCCTCCGCTAATGGCATCTTTGGCCAGGTCCACAACTCGATCAATAGCGCCTAAGGTTGAACGGCCTTTTCTGAAGCCGAACTGGTTTCCAGACAGGTCCCCTGCTTCGGCTATAGCTGCCTCCAATCTGGCATGGATTACTCTTTCCAGCAGTTTTCCTATAATGTCCAACATGCACAGTGGTCTGTAGGACGAAGGCTGCTCGGGAGGCTTATTTCCCTTGGGTAGCAGCACCAGTCTTTACAGCTTCCACGAGTTTGGAAAATGTCCTTCTCGCAGGCACGCACTAAATGTATCGCGAATTATTTCCGGGGCATTCAGTGCTGCCGTCTTGATGGCAATTCCCGGTATCCCATCCGGCCCTGGCGCTTTCCGGGTTCGAATTTTCTTTGCGGCTACTATCAGTTCTGCTTGGGTTACTTCTGTAAACTCGATTTCATCGTCTCTTTCCATTAGGCCTGTTTGTTCTGGTCTCTCCCGATGTCTTGGGAACAGATGTCGCACTACTCTGTCGAGGAAT